TTTCCTTTTTATATGACTGCAAACAATTTAAATCCCTTTTTTCTCATATAGACCTATTCATTTGAAAAAAAAGATTAAAATTTCTAGACTATTGTGAAGCAATGAGACTACGCAACTATCTCAATTTCACAACGTTCACATTTAATAAAGTAAAATCCAGCTTTATACCTACCTTCTATTTCTTCATCATCATGGCCTAATTTGTATAATGGGCAGATGATCCAGATAGTCTCTCTCGAGACCCCGCATGATGTCTCATCAGTAATTTCATAATAATCAAAATTTTCACTACTACATTCTCTAAATAAATTTGGATATTGATCCAATATCTTGTTGCGAAAGTAGGCTCGGTCATAAGTTAGCTTAGATTAGGCTCGTACATTAGTCTGATTGGTTTTTGAAGTCTGAGATGTAGGTGGAGTGCTTTTCCCGATATCTGGTGATTTTTTCGATCTAGACTTATTTGATTCAGCCGGTAGATCACATAAGCGTGAAGAATTCTTCACACCGATCACTTTTTGACATTCTGCATTGTAAAGGTTTATTATATTTTGAATTTGTGCACCCATTAAATTTCCAATAGCATTAACACTATATGTAACTAACCTGATTTTATCTATTCCTATTTTTTTTAAACAGGATATAAATATTTTTAGCTTTTTGAGTCATCTTGCGTAAATTCTTTCTCTTCTTACCTGAAAGGTAAGATTTCATTTCATCATAAATCTGCGTTCTTGCCATTTGATCACTAATATTGTTTTCTAAAGCAATAGTTATGGCCTTTTTTTCGAATTCCTCACAATAGTAATACCAACGTAACTTTTCTTTTTAACCAGTTTTTTCAGCCTTATCAAATAAGTGAGCTAAATGAAATATAGAACCCAAAGCTAGATCAGAATCGACTGGAATTTGTTTACTAGATGCAGTAGAATTCGATAAGGATTCATAGCTTCTAATGAATTCAAGTAATTCATATACTAAACCTTTTTCTACTTTTTGTTTATAGGGAACTTTCCCTCCTTACTATATTCAAAGCCGGGTGAAGTAATACATGATTCGGATAATAGACTGGCAAGATAAACATCTTATCCATCTTTTTCGTTTAAGAGAATGACAGAATTCTAAGAATCGATACCAGAGATATTGGCTATGAGTAGCTCTGAATCCAAATTCTTCTCCCGGGAATCACTTTCTCAAAGCTTTTTCTCTCGCTTCCTTTGTCTTATTTCCTCACTAATCCTTTTCTTATGTTCTTCATCTAAGAAAGCGTCAATCTCTCTGTCCTCTAACGACCTCCCTTGATCTGGTAGCAAAACCACCTCTTAGATCTGTGAGGTGAGAGTCAATCCATTCTGATTGCACAGTCCTGGATCTCGCAACTCTGATAAATTTAACTGACTATGAACTTCGTGAATAAGCGGAGGCTTACACTGTTTGGGCTGAGCTATAACTGAGTCAGATACATTGACAGATTCTTTGAGAATAAAATCATCTATTATCTTATCTGGTACTGATTGCTCCGCAACTACCTTAGGTACCTCTTTCATTGATTTAGTATTGACATCATTTTGCTGGTCTATTACAGAGTCAGATTCATCAATGGCTGATATTTCTGCTATAGTTTCCCTATCATTCTGTGACTGCCCATCCACTACTGAGGATCCCTGTTCCAATATCAAGAGTCTGGCCTCAAGTTCTGTATTTTTTAGTTCTAATTCCTCGACTCTAGCATCACACTTAGCATTCTCATCCATAACCTGCTTTAGAAGCTTGACATTCCTAGCCTCAATCTCAGCTTTCTTAGCCTCAAGCTTGGCATTCTTAGTCTCAAGCTCGCTAATGTGTTATTTCAATAATTCAAGCTCTGTTGACATGATTTATAAAATTATACATTCTACATAAGCATTCAAAATAAAAAAATCATGTGTGCGTGAAGATTCTTCACGCCAATCACTTTTGCCAAGAAAAAAAATATTTTATTAATTCATGCGAAAATAATTACAAATATTCGGGACTGTGCCCGTAATACATGACGTCTATGCTAGCCTCCTATACAATTGTTTTTTTCTTGATTATCTCTTCTACACAGTGCTTCTTATTTGCAGGTTTCTCACTAGCTGATACCCTATCTTTTAACAAACCCACTATAACCTCTAAGATCCTCTTCACATTCTTGCGTAATTCAGCTGGATTTTTGATGGCGTCTTCCGTTAGTGAGATTCGATACTCAGTCTTACTTGTACAGTAGATGCCTTCGGTACTATGTAGGATGAAATACCAGTCCATGGCTAAGCAATTATAAAACAAGTTAGTGATTCAAAAGAGTGGAGGAAGAAAAAAAAAAGATTCGCTAGAGCATCTTCTCACCTGTTGTGACAATACCATAGACATATTTATACTCCTCGAATACTTCATCAGCCGTACGCTTTTTCTTGAGCGTATTTTATGTTAACAGATGACAATTAGTTAGTATGTAGTAAGTAAGATGGGAAGACATAATTTAGCATCATTTACATCATATGAACTTTGACATTACATAAGGCTCTTTTGCTTACACTCCTTTTTCTGGCTGGTTTTACTTCCCTCCAGTTATGCAAATTATTTCTTCGAGCAAATCATCAAGTACAGCCAGAACTTTCTTCATTTATCTGAGGCAAGACTGCAAATTCTCTGAGGATGCTGACAGCACTGTGAAGGGTCCGTTAAAATGTACTCACAATGTTACTATTTACAACTGACCCCATATTTTTTATCCTATGGAGAATTTCATCAATACAGAGCTTAAACTCTGAAGATTATTCATTGATTGGATAGGAGCTGGTTTGAATTGAAGAATGTGAGTGATATCCCTATTCACGATTTCGTACTTACGCTTAAGTCTTTTAAAGTTTTATGCTACAAGAATGAGGGCTTTGCAAAGAGTCTATATTTTGTAATTAATGTATAGAATATTAGAATCCAAGGATAATCTCTCTTTTGTTATACAGAAAAATAAAGTGAAATAAAGGTTTATAAATGCTATTATAACGGGAATTACTAAAGATTCAGATTTCTATACTTTGTGACTTCATTCCATTGTGCTATATCCAAAAACTTTATATGTCGCACCTCTGGCATACCCAGAATTTTAAAATCTTTTTTTAAAAACTTGCCAATCAATTCAAACACTTTCTTATGATGGCTTAAGGTAACCGAAATAATTATCTTACTTTTATCCAACCAATAAATGATCCAGTTATTCATGTCAGTTAAAATCCCAAAAATTTTAATATCCTTACTTGTAAGTATGTCAGCTACAATCATTTCGAGGATAGCCTGCCGGAAATCTCTGTCTTCCAATTTTTTTTTCAACTCGATAATTGCATGGATTCCAGTTCTGAACATTTTGCTTTTGATATAATTCCTCTCTACTAAGACAAGATCTGTTCTGCTATTAACACTAAATGGCAAACATGATAATTTGGGAATATCAAGTAAATGTTTGTTATTTGAAACATCTTCAATGATGATCTCTGTGGGAGGATGACATTTTAAGTTATCTTTAAAATATTTGAGAACTTTTCTGCGTTGGTCTAGGTGATTTTTGGCGTGGCTAGTCCAATTATAGGAAGCTATATTCTCCTCTAATATTCTTCCAGAAAATTCTATATTCTTTAGGGTCAATCCAGTGAAATTAAGAAGTTGTTGAAATTTACTGGAATTATATTTGAGATCGTAGTAGCTTCGGACTCATCTACCATATAATCGTAAATAAAATTTATCTTTCGGATGATGTCATTGGGAAGAGAAAACTGAGAGACTTATGAAGATATTAGGGATAGAAAATTAAATAACAAAAAAGCATTATAGGTTTGGCAAAATAACAAAGCCATGTTGACTAATTAATTCATTTACCAGTGACAATATTTGATATTTCAACCATAATGTGAATATAATTATCAGGAACCTCGGTAAAGATATCGCAAATTTTCATTACAGGAAACAATTCATGAACCCTATTTCCTCATTACTTTTAAGAATGATGTCTACCTGTATAGCATCTTTATTGTACAGAACGTTTACTTTCCATAGCGTAAGGTCTTTTGCTCTCATATTATCAGGAATGTAGATCTTTTTCTCAATGATTTCTCTGACAGACATAATTGTATCATTGGCATCAACATCAATCGAAAACATAACTTTAAGAGGATTTCCATGAACAAGGCAAAAAAGTGTTTTGATCATATGCTGTTTTTTGGCTGAAACTAGAGCTGATTGGTAGTAACAAAGATTTAGCAAGAGCACTGAAAACAACTGTTTTTATTGATTATTACAAATTCCTACATTTTTTCAAGGCTCCTTTTTTTTAGGTTCTAAGTTCTTCATATTACCCTTCTTTTTGGATTTCTATATAGCATGAAAGAGCAAAGTATAAGTAAGATTTTTCATCATAAGAAAGGTACATAGCTGATTCCTCCTCCAGAATCGGCAGACCTTAATCAAAAAAAATCTCATAGCAAAATGTACACGTTGCAGAGGTGAAAGCACTCACAGTCTGAACGCTTTTCTTCCCCAGGTTCATAGCACAGAGCATAACACACTCATATTAGTGTTGTTAAATGGCTCGGAATGATATGTCTTAGGAGCATGCAAGACTTCGGAAACCAAGCCGATTAATAACACTACTCATTATGCTCGTTAATATTTTTTAAAAAATACTAGCCTTTAATTGGCGCTTTAACGCCAACACTTTCTTACCTATTCCTGTATTAAGTTCTATGTTATGTACAAATACTTCTAACTTACTATCTAAGGAATTATGCGACTGCCACACTGACGCATCTGAACATTCTTTGGAGAAAAATTGTTCCCACATGTTTAAATCCCATTCCTTATAATGTCTATTCCAGTAAGAATATTTAAGTTTTCGTGAGATTTCCTCTGGTAACATAGATAGAAAAGTGTATAGAAACAAATAACAAAATATACAGTGTGAGCGCAAATATATTTTATTTTAATAACGTGACGCGTTTTCAACCACAATATTTATGCTTACGATCATATCTATTGTTGGGTGAAATTTCAGATTTAGATGTCAGACTTCACATTAATACTGCGTGACCGAAGGATAATAAAACTTCCTATTCAAGATTTTGGAATAAAGATGGGAACTGTAATTAATATGTTGCAACTTTTAATGTTGCAACTTACATTGCAATTAGTTTTAACCTATATATGTTGCAACTTATAATGTTGCAACATATGTTGCAACTAATTTTAGCTTATGTTGCAACATTTTGTAAATTTGAAATCAATTGCTGTACCATCTTTATTTCGGAAGTTACAAATGCTTTCTCCACAATAAGAACTATTTTTATACATACCATATGGACATTCTGGATTAGTTAACCTACATGCTGGGCATTTTAACTTATTATTAAACAAAATTTGTCACATAGAAAAGATATGTATGGGGTACTTCTTTTTACAGAATAAACTCAATCATAACCAGAACTCTTCGTATTCTCAGCCTCAGGCTCTGTTCCAATAATTCAAGCTAGGATGACATAATTGTATTTTTAGAATTATTTAATGTTATGTTGTGAATGTAAAGACTCGCTTTATTAATACAAGATAAATACAAGTCTGGGACTTTGCCCAAGAATACATGATGAATTTTCTATACTAATATATATGCGCTGTGGCTGATTATTTTTTTGAATGATATTCCTCAATTTTTGCCTTCTTCTTTGAAGGGGAATCATCTTCCGCATATGTCCTATCCTTTAATAATCCTACTATTACGCACAACACCTTTTTTATTCCATTATGTAACGTTTGATATTCTACAGAATCTTTTTTCAAAGCATCTTCGGAAAATTTGATGCTTAATGGCAATTTACTATCTCATGAAATTATCCTAGAGTATATAATAGGAAGTGCCAATCCCGAGCTGTAGTGATCATACCATATAGATAATCAAAGTCATCATCATCATCCCGCTTTCTTTTTCTCTTATTCGTTTGAAAAGAGCTTTCAAGCTGTTTGATATTCTGAGCAAAACCTTCGATTATGTTTTGCTCTAGTTTATCCTCCGCAATACAAACAAGGTTCTCAGCCTCCTAGAATGAAAAAAATAATGTATTAATATATTCTTGAAAAATGAAATTTGCGAGACAGTTCTAAAAAAATTATCCTATTACCTTGATTGCAAAATCAACTCACCCAGAGCTTTCATCACTAACTATTTCATATTTAGGCCTCATATTGAATTCTTTTCCTGTAATATTCCTGATGATATTGACATAGTGTTTTTTATAGGTAATTTGGTTCAGACAAAAAATAGTGTTACGTTCCAGAGTGAGATAAAAAGTTCGGAAAAGAAAATACTTGGCATTAATATATGTTTTTATGTTACACGGGCATTGCTTTATCACACGTGATCTATTTCTCGATAAAATAATACTTTATTTATGAAATAAAAAACATTGCCGGAACTACACGGCCTACAATACATAAAAATTGCGACTATAGCATTACATGATACAAATAAAAAAAACTATTTATTCTTAGGTTTTATGTAAATGTGAACTTGATCCTGAACAGGAGGCTTATCGAAATACTTAGAGATCTCTTTGGTTGATTCTATGAGTTTATTTTCAACATAGAGGTCGAAGCTGAGAAAGAGAACTTGGTAACCTTGATTTGCTAATAAAATTTTAACGGCAGATTCAAGAGTGGTAACCTTATCTTCCTTGCAAACCTCAATCACGAAAATTTTTTCATCTTGCTCATCTTGAAAACTACACCTAAGTTTGATAGGATTTGTATTGGTCATTTTGGTTTTCGTTATCTATAGTTAATAAGCCTATAGTGAGTATTTTACTTCGTGATCCATCCCCTCTGGCATAAGCATACCTTATTATGCATTATTTTTTCTGGGAAAGTTTTTGCGGAAAGTTAGCTGAACTTTCATATACTCCTACATACTTTATATATTGCTATTGGGAAGGAAAAAAATAAGGAGATAAGAATAGTGATTAGCATCGTCGTATGATACCAAGAGCTCTTTGAAAGCACATGTAAATGGAATCCTTATACCTTTTCACATGGAGATCTACCGAAGAGACATATAATTGGTTTTACGTCCAGCGATCTCAAAATTGCGAGTCTCTCAGCCTTTCATAACATATGCTTTTATCATCACTATTTACTTATAGGTGAAGTCCTGTGTTGCATGTAGAAAAAAATAGAGGTACTAGTTAGCATACATAACTTTCGATATATGCGAAAATTAATTAATATGTCGCACAAGACCTGACTAATAATCCACTTATTTTTTTGTCGCACAATCTGTGACCCAGAAAAAATCTTCTGAGTTGATGATTAATGCTCCAGACTAGCCTAAATCAGGATGGATGAACAAACTTTAGCGGAGGCTTGTGTATCTGATATATGGCCTGTTTGTTTAACCAATCTTCGATCTCTGCAAGAGTAAACTTATATCTGATCTTCTTACAAGCATCCCGCATTTTTTCAGCAGTCTGATAATAACCTTTGGGCTGGTAATACAGCTTATGAAATATGAGATCTCAATATAGAAGTTGTTCTCTTTCGGGTCTTTTAAACAGTTCGAGACTGACTTCTGTTTTCTATATATTATTTATGCTATTACGATTATAGAGATTCTGCATCGATAAATTCTTTAGAATAAATGGTATTAATTCTAGTGTAATCTGATCAAGCAAATTAGCTGTATGCATTTTATATGATTAGAAGAATTTTTAATCGGAAAAAATCCATCTAGTGTCAGTCAGTGTCAATGTCTAGAACAGGTTAGCTAATTTATATTTTTTTCTTATACAGGACATATCTAGATGCGAAAAAAATCTTTCAAGCTAATGATCACTGCTATAGATTAGTTAGATCAGTAGAGTTCCACCATCCTGCTTGACCGGCTAGTATTCTATCAAAATAATTTCTCAGTTACAATGCTTATAATTTTTTATCTGAAAGTAAATGGTAGTATAATATTTCAAGATGAGTTACATTTGAGTAATAAATTGGCGTTTGCTTTTCATATATTAACTTAATGAATTTTTTCAATTGAGAAAGATCTTTTGCACGTTCTATCCTTATGAATTTATTAAATTGAGGACGATTCTTTGCACAGTAATTATAATCATTTGGAAAAGATTGCCTAGGATATAAGTTTTTTCCCTTTAGCTCAATACGCTTCCATAGGATAAGAACACTACATCTATACCACAATCGGGAAACATATAGAATGAGATAGAGAGATTTATCTATCACTAAAAAATGTAAAATCTGTTCTAATAGTTTTAGTATGATAAAAATGCTTGAATGCGCCATAAATAATATACTCTGTATCTTTAATAAAAAAAAAATAAATAAATTAACCTCTAAAAGAAGAGCTAGAAAAATATTTCTAATTTCAACCAATTTTTTCTAAATATCAGATAGCGGTACCTGGATTAATATATTTTATTTTAAGATATAATTCAATTTCCTTGATGGTTGTATTGGATATTTTACATTCATAAATAACAAACTCTTGAATCCTCAGACAAGAATGAATAACATTCCAAATGACTATTTCAGAAAATTCTTTGTGACTAGAAATATTCAGATATTCTAATTTATAGCATGAATTTGTAATTACATATAGACCTTTATCAGTTATTAATCTATTATCATTATACCCTTCCAAGTTGAGGTACTTCAGATTGGGATATGATTCTGCTATTCGGTTTAATGTTTTATCACTAAATCTCACCCTATGATGTAAATTTAAATGTACTATATTTGAGAACAGGCCTACAATGCTTTTGAATTTTTTATCTGAAGGATAGTAATCTGGAATTTCTAGATGAGTTACAATTGAGCAATAAACTGGCTTCTGCTCCTCACGTATTATTTTTATAAATTTTTTTTGTGCATTACTCCTCTTTAGCTTGATGCGTTTCCATAAAATAGGAGCACTACATCTATACTACAATCGGATATGAATAAAGTAAGGTAGAGGGATTTATTTTTTGCTAGGAAATATAAAACTTGTTCTAATATTTCTAGTATAATAAAAATACTTGTATGCGTCATAAATAATATATGCTGTATTATATGTTGTATCTTTAATCGAAAAAAATATCTTTTGAGCAAGACTAAAGGCACTTTGCATGATCACTGATCTGGACTAAGCATTTCCACTATCTCATCTAATGCAAGCGCCTGTAAACTATCTATAAGAACTTTAAACATATTCTTATGTGATAATCCTTTGAGAAATATATTTTTAAGAAGTTCTTCGGGATAATCTATACAAATGTTACACTCTTTCAGCTTCAAATAAAATTCCTTTACCGTATTTAATTGCCTTGAACTAATGATCCAAGCTGATGATCATACTCAGATTTGACTTTTAGCTAAATATGGGATCACAAAATTATTGTCTAATATTAGCATCGAATTATGCATATTCAAGCTTACACCATTTTCTCGCATCCATGGTAAACCTAAGAGTATTTTAGGAAATTGATTAGGCTAATCTGATCCAGTAACTATAAATTCAGTGGGTATATTTTTATACTTCTTGCCATCATTTAAGATAATACGTAAATTGACCTTTTCTAATGTAGAATAAGACTCATCTAGATACCTGTTTACTCTAGGAATACTATTATCTTTTGCATATGCTATTTTTCATTAATCAAATTTACATTAGCGCCTATGTCAATCCTAAATCAAAAATCTAAGAGAATTATTTTGGTCTATTCAAGATTCACCTCTCTTTTTCATATATCATTTATACTGCTAACATGTTTTAGATCTTGGCCTGAAAGATACGTT